ATGATAATCAGTTCTTTCGGATCGGCCAATAACCTCGAATGCCACAGGCGGTGATTTGGAAGTCGTCTTGGTGTGGTGTTTTTCCTGCTCCTTGTCCGAATGGATTCAGACCGTAAATATCAAGCTAAATGTGTGAAAAGCAATCATCTAAGTCGTCCATTCTGTAAAAGCACCATTACAATTGACTCGGTAAGGGTAGGGGCTCTTGTTCAGCCCCATGTATTCAATGCATAAGTGAACATCTGGCATGATTGCATTTGCTTTTTCAAGAATTTAAAATCTTTTAGGCAAATGGTATAGGCAATTTTGGCTGGTTTAGACCTGAAGATCAGAGAAGGAATCTTGAGATAAAAGTAAGTGATTTTAGTCCCTTAATCTCCATATTAAACCGAATATATATAATTCTGACAAATGTTCGCTTTGCCAGAGTGGTGAAGGTATTGCGAAATGCTAAATGCAGTTAACTTCCAGAACGCATTCTTCGTTTGTGAAAGGTCGAGAGGGCGAAAGTATCCCGGAACAGATTTTCCAGAGTATTTTTGGGAGTGCTTTCCCCTGTGGAACATGTGACTTCAGCAACTGGCGTTCAGTCGTAAGTTTGTCTCACGTTTTAATGTAATACCTTTTATACAACTTAGCCTTCTCTCTATGTAAGTCATTTCGCTCTAAAACTACAGTGGCTGTTAAAAGGTTGCTTAGTGTCCCTGGAACCTAAAAGATTCCTCTTTCATTCTCAATAGTGCATTTTTCTCACCTTTACTTGCACATTAAACCTTCAAATAATCAAATAATCTTGAAATCGAGCTCTGTTTGAAAAATCTAAATCATCGGCAGACGCGGGAGAGTCATTTAAAGATGCTTTGGACGTAAACTTTTTCTATTATTTTTCTATTATCTATTGCAGACGCTATTCCCGTCTCATTGACCACTGGGTACCGTCTCTTCTCCGCTATTGCAGCCTATCCCATCTCTGTTGCTCACAGTTCCCTCCGTGCCCCCAAAGAGTACCATGACGTCCTGTCTTCTTCTAGTCGTTTAGCATTTCTGAGTTCATGCCCCATGTCCGGTGAGCATTCGACATCAGTTTATTCCTATAGTGCCGCCATTATTTCAGAATACCCAATTCCCTTATCTACGTGTCATTATCAATACGTGCAGTGTTGTCTAACACTTTACACCAGTCGACTGCACCAAGTCATACCGAATATAGCTTGGTTAAACGTGAATGAAAATGGATGGAAAATGTTCTTAATATTGGAAATATTTGCTCTTGTTTTTTCTTGATCGGCAGGTAAATCTGTCGGGTCTGTGTGTAAGTGTTTGTGTCATCGGGAAGAAAATAAG